TTTTTAGCTGTCTTTTTCATTGGAACCTCATCTTCCACAAGGCTCTATCTGGTAATTTAAGGTGTAGGTTGAGTTGTGAAGTACTGTACCATATTTGCTGAGTGCACAGAAAGAAAAAGGAGGAATGTCAAAATGAAGTGACTTAGTTCCAGTATGACAATACAACCAAGGATATACTTGATTAAAGTAGCTGTGGAAGACAGAGTCAAGGAGACAGCAGTAGGACCCCTGGCATTATTAAACCTAATGGTTTACCTGTTTTTTTACTGTAACAAGCTACAAATGCTGCTTTTTTACCCACTTGAGCCACAGTGGTCATTTCCATATCAGAGTGAAGTTGCTCACATAATCAGCTTCTAGTGTGAAACTCAAATACCACAAAACAAAAAAAAAACAACCTACACACCCCAAAACCTCTTAAAAACTAATGGCTTGTTAACAGCAAAATTTCTGAAATGTATGTGCCAGTGGAGCTTACCCCGTTCAATATCATCCATAGGAGAAGATGGAAAGGTTTTTTCCTTTGATGGAGAGCTTTTAACGTTGTTTGGAACCTTTGTTGCATTTCGCATTTGCTGCTGTTGCTGCTCAATGCGAGACTGGACTTTACTACTTCCTTCAGCTCTGTGTGTAAGAGGGAAAGATTTTAAATTAGTAGAAGGCAAGAGGCAAGGAAAAAGGCAAGAACACAGGGAATATGGTACCATGGATTTTTTCTCATGCCTTTCTAAATAGCATCATTTGATTCTTAGGTAAGTTATTATACTGGTAAGTTATTATACTAATACACATAATACATTAATATATACTATTAATATTGTATATGTGTTTAAAATTATTTTTATACAGTGCTATTAACGTTATAATATTTTGTCAGTTGATTTGTTTTTATACCTTGCTACCCAGGATCATTTAATAATAATTCTGCTGGAAGTTACTTGTATGGACTCAGCAGCAAAAAAAAAAAAAAAATTCAAAAAACTTGGTATGAGAAAAATAAGCCATTACAATTACTGAGACCTGTCACAAAATTTTCTTTTTTTTTTTTAATTTCCTCATTTACAAGCCAGAAGACAGTAGGCAAGCTACTAGCCAAACAGATCTTTTTTTCCTCCCTTTAAAACCACCAGAAAATAGTAACTATTTCTTTCAAAACTATAACATGTTTTGGATAATAAAAAAATACATTTTGATTTCTTCTGCAGTCACAACTCAAAAGATGTGAAATCAATTTGCTGAGAAAGCAGACTTTTCACTCCTCTGAGCAAGGCCAAGTACTTTCTAAAATTATGTTTTCCTAAAAATAGTGATATGTAGTTATATATCTCAATTTAGACTCATTTACATTGATTTTCAAAATGACTAAAGCACAGTTGTCTCTCCTGTAAATCACCCACCTGGTTTTTTTCACAGTGATGTTGCTACTAAGTTTCTCTAGGCGACATTCTCCAGTGTCATGGTTGATAATTAAGATACATTCTTTAAGGTAAGGCTTCTTTGAGCCCTTGAACACAGTCACTGGTGGAGTTGAGCCCTATTAAATCAGAAGTCCAGTAAGTGTTACTCCTGTAGTCGTTTTTCATAGGAACAGCAATCCTTCAGTGGCGACAAGTTCACTACAAGTGATCATTTCTAGCCATTAAAAATGTTACTGGTTAATTCAAATTAGATTCACAGTTGCCATGTCCAAAAGCAGCTGGTGTTTGACTGGAATTGGGTTTTACTCACTTAGCTTAGTTTGAAACCAATTAAATACTTATTTCCCAATATTTCCTTATTTCTCTCTAGGACTCATCTCACCAAAAGGGGTTTCAGCTCTCATATCAGCAGAGCAGTAAAGCATGGCAGGTAGTAAATTTTCCCTTTCCAGTCTTTCCTGCTTTAGAGCTGCACTAGAGCAATAAATACCAAGGGGAAGCTTGCACTGCCAACATACACATGAAGCTTTTCTGTGTACGCAACACTTCTGGGTCATCCTACAGCATATTTCCAGTGCAGCAAATACACTTAAAGTTACAGTGCAGCTGTTTAACCTTTGGGTCTTTTGTAATCTTACAGTCTTAGAGCAATTGTTTTTCTACTCTAAAAATCACTCAGGCAGCTCTGAAACAGCAGTAAAACTTTATACCCTTCCATAGTCAGGGTATATACTTAGGACAACAAAATAAATAATTCTTTTAAGCCTGCCACTCTTCAGCCACATCAACTCACCTCAATATTTGGCAGTGTTATTGTCACCTGTTCACCTTTGCCAACTTCAAGGTCTCCTTCACAGGACATATCAATAGATGCAGGCTTAAAGTCATCTAAATATAAAAACAAACTAGATTATTTACAGGCTTTTCAGGAATCTTATAAATGCAGGCACCACTTAATTGCAGTTGGAGGCTATTAAGTAAAAGCCTTTTTTGCTAGTGTATCATCTAGCATTCCCCTGAGCAGATCATTCCATAAGTTAATAGAATTCAAAGTCAAGATGCTTTTCTCAGGATCCATTATAAATGTTTAATCTTTCAGTTAAAATTAGAAAAACACCTTTAGGTTTTAATGGATAAGAAAGCCAAACAAGTTATGTTGTATTTCAAAAGGTACACTCTCATGTAATTATTTTCAGAAGTACCAATAAACAGTTCCTGAAAATGCTGATCCCAAACATGAGAGATATAGACAAGTAACAGAAAATGCAAAGAACAACATCAACCCCCAATATGCATTTCTCTTTCTGTTTCTAACTTTACTGTAACAAGCACATCAGAACCTGACAAAAACTTGGTGTTTCAGTTTAGTTATTTCTGTTGAAAGTGAAATTCCTTCCCAATTTAACATTGATTTACATTTTGGGGGGTTTTTTTCAGCATCTATAGGACTCGTTAAAATAAGTTTTGAGCAAAAGAGGGTATTGATTTCTGATCCTTTTCAAAACTCTGAGACATTGCAAATGAGCATATGTTCAGGCATCAGCATGGCAGCTCTGTCACATACCATTACCTACAAAGCATTATTTCCACCACAAATAAATTGGGGAAGGCTACAGCCAAAACTCTGCCTGTGCAGGGAGACAGGATAGCATCAAGAGGTTCCTGAAGGCCTGTGATAACATATGTGGGGTTGAGCCCGCGGCTCAGGTACGGCAGGATGCCGGTGCCCTGTCTCGCACGCCGGAGGAGGCGCGGAGGGGACCCATCGGCGGGCACACGCTGCTCGCCTCGCTGCCAGCCCCATCTCACACTCTGCTGGTCACTGACGGCGGCATTCCTGCAGCTGGGGAGCTTCCCAGTTCCCTAACTCGGCCTGCAGCCATGGGCCAGGCGCACAGACCGCAGCTGGAAGCACGGCTCCAGCCAGCACACCAACCGGGCAGGAAAACCAGGCTGCAGGAGCTGCTGGGCAGGGCCGCGCAGGAGGAGGCTCGCAGCTCAGACACCGGTGACAGCCCCTGCTAACCTTGTTTGGGCAAACCCCTAAACGCCGTCCTGCAGGAACAAGCATACAACAGTTCCAAAGTTTCTCATCAAATCAGAGAATATTTGCTTTTATATATGGCCACTGAGCTGTTAATAATCGAGAAAATGAAGATATTGATACTGCCAATCTTAACTTCTAACTAACAGCTGTTGTCCCTTTTGTTCAACTGTTTAAAAAAGGTGTTGGAGGATATTTCTTCTGCTTGTGCATTTGATAGAACTGATGAACGTGCCAGTTTCTATGTCTCATTTGTTGGAAAGGAAGAGAGATTTCAAAACAGATTTCAGAATAAATCATCACATTAGAAGAGTCAGCATAAAACTCTAAGGGTAGGAGGTACCAGACAGGGTTAGTCCTCTTTAAAATTAGGGTAAATATCAAACTGCAGCATTTGTTTAAATCCATTTATAGCTTTTTTCCCCCCTCTCCTCCACTTCTACAGTTGGAGACAATCTAAGTGCCATTCCCTTTGCTCACAGAGAGCACATTACCCATCCTGCACACCGGACACTCTCCAGAGAACATACGTTCTCTGAATCTTGGGGATTTCATTCTATAAATAACCAGACAACAAAACCAGAAGCTGCAGTCCTAAATTACCAAGGACTATAATCCTGGGAGCATTTGTTTCCTAGCTACCCTCAGAATCTTTGAGCACACACCTCTCTAGATAGTAATTATGTACTCAGGGAGGGCGTACTGGCTCCGTGATTAACACCGCCTGCCTTTAACCTTTGGTTGCTGAATTACACGGAACTTCTAAAAACTGAGCGCAAGCAAGGAAGACAGAGCCACAGGTTCAGCTTAGCTCGGTTTCCAGCAGAACCGCAGGGAGACGCTATGGAAAAGGCATGGAAAGGGAAGTTAGTGCCCAGCGGACAGCGAGGGGCAACTCTAGGATACAATGGCCGTACGTGCTCCCAGCACCGACTGAAACCTGCACGGCTCCCGAAATCCCGGACCAGCACCCCACGGCACTCAGCGCCAGAATCCCGGGACAGAGGCAGCCGCCGAGAGCGGCCGCAGCCACCCCCGCCCTCCAGGGGACTGCGGGCACCGGGGGCCGCCGAACCCCTCCCCGACCCCCGCAACCCCCGAGAGCTGCCCCAACCCCAGCACTCACAGCGGACGGTGTGGAAGGCGCAGCGCGGCTGCTTCTCGAAGCTCTCCCCCAGCTTTAGCACCCGCGCCTTGGGGTCGTAGAGCGACGGGACCGCTCCGTTCATCGCGGCAGCGCCTCACACCATGGCGGGCCCTGGGGCCGCCGCCGCCGCCCGCACCGAGCATCCCTCACGCCGCCCGGGCCGGCGGGACCCGCCCACGCGGGCTCCGATAGGCCGGGAGGGGCAGAGCCCCGCCTGCCCCGGGCCGGATTGGTCAGCGGGCGCGTCCCCATGTAGATTTCCGCCAATGGGGTGGCGGAGGCGCCAGTCCGCACGCGGATATGCAAATACACCCTCCTCCCGCAGGGGAGAGCGCTGGTTGGCGGAGAGAGGCCGCGACCACACAGCTGTGAGGGGAGGGGGGCGTGGGGGAGCCGTCGCGTTGGAGACGGCGGGCTCGGAGTTCCAATCCCCCCTCCCTCCCCCCGCAGTGGGGGAGCCCCCGCGCGGCGGTGAGAGGGGCCGGGGGTGCGTGCGGGTCCCCTCAGAGCGCCCCGAGGGGCCCCGCGGCCTGGGGGCTGCGCGGTACCGGCGCCGCCGCTCCCGGGGACAGTGGCGCCGCTGGGAGAGGGCACCGCTCCCTCTGCCCTTTCCCCGGCCCTGGGTGAGGTGAGGCCGCTCCTGCTGCCCGCCCCGTGGGGCCGCGCTTAGGCTGCCCGGCCGGAGGTGCGCCCTGCCGGCAGAGCCGGTCTGGCGGCCCGCGGCCTCGGGAGGGAGCGCAAGTGGGGCTTCCTCCATGTTTGTTTCCTTTCTCAGGGGGAGTCCTGCAGCCCGAGGCTTCCAGCTGTGCTGCAGGAGCTGGGATGAAGTAGTGGCCTGAGGACCCCGCGCCTTAACATAAAAAGGAAAGACGGTGGAATCGATGGTGGTGTGCGCTCCTGGCTGTTCGCTATGGCAGCCACGGACCCCCAGGTCCTGGCCTTGGCTGCTCAGATCACTGAGAGCAGAGAACAGGACATCCCCCTGCTGCTGCTGAAGTTAAAGGGTAATTAGTGCCGTTCGTAAAATAAAATTATGAGCTGGTGAACTATGGCCAGTCATTCTTCCGTCAACCTCCTTAAATACAGAAAGTTTTTCTGAAACTCTGTAAGGAAGGTTGATACGGCAGCTTTTCCTGAGAGTGGCGTCTGACTTGGCAAAAATAAAGAGGAGGAGCTGAGGAGCAAATGGACAGAATTTTTTTCTGCTTTTCAGCTGTCATGCTGATAATGTGGGCCCTTTCCCTGCTGATACAGGCAAGGATCTTACACTTGGTCAAATCATTTCTCCCAGTGCTCTTTGGGCAGAGAGCGAGGGTGGTTGTCTATATTCAGTTTTTAAATCTTAACACAGAAACAAGATCATATGTGTGATCTCCTGTGTGACTTCCCTGTCTTTCCTTCTGCTATACAGCCACTGCTCATAGGAATGGTTGAAACAAGTCAGGTCCTGTTCTAAATTGGGATGTAATTATAAGGAAGCTATATGTTTCCCAGTGGTTGTGGTTTTATCTAGCCTAGGAAATTCATACAAATGGTTCATATCCCAGATAATCTATTTTATGCTACTAAATATGTAGAGAGAAAATGGAAACCTAAGTTTAGCTACCCCTTCCCAATTGTCATATAATTTTTCAAATGAGTTGTAACTGTAGCAGCAGAAATTGCTGACAAAATATTTAATGGTGTTGTTAGCACTTTTACAATTACTTTAATCCTGGATCCTGGTTCTGTGTACATATACTCTTCTTACATTTTAGAAAAAGGAAAAAAACCCCTGCATATCAGAATCTTATGTTTCTTTTTGTCTCTCTCCCACTTTCTTCCCACAGGAATTTTAAGCAGTCCTTCCTTAGGATGTGAAGAATCAAATAAAATTAAGCAAGATATATACGATTATGGTCTTACTCAGTACTGCCTGCTGGTCCTTAAGCAAGACCACTCTCAGCTGCATGGAGCCTGGGCTACTGCTGCCCAGCTAGCAGAGATACTAAGGTAAAAAAAAAAAAAAGCTAAGAAGAGAGCTTCCAGTTTTCTTTCTGTCCTTTCATCTTGCTCTTTCTCTTTTCAAGCTGTAATACATTGGCTCCCATCCAGAACAAGGCTTGTTGTTCAGGAAAGGCCAGGGTTAAAGTGCAGGGAAGCAGTCAAGAGCAGAGGGGTCAGGCATAGCCTAATTGGTCCTGTTTAATTCATTTGCATTGTGTTTTATTGAGCTGGGGGAGCTATATGGTGGGAACAGGGTTTGTGTTGGCTTTACCTTTTTTTTGTGGACAGTACTCATTAGTGCAGCAGTTTTTATCCAGTGATTATATAATTTTGAATTGTAGCTATTTAAAAATTGTTATTTTGTTTGCTTAGATTTCATCTTGCAAAGATCTCCAACCTGATTGACTCCCTGCTTGGCCTGACTGTACTTAAATATTTATTTGATATACCAATTTGAAATATCTACTTACATTTTTAAATATAATAGATAACACAGTTCATACAGACTAGATAACCTGATGTAGGAATATTGTGAGAATGGCATTGTAAATAAGAAAACTTTAAACTCAAACCCCCAGCGATCCAATCTCAATTTTAAATGTCAGGAAAAATAATACATTTTAAATTTTCCTCAGGTTTAGGTTTGGCTTAACTAAGGAGTAAAATTCTAAGGCATGAAGTAATTATGTGACCATCTCTTATTTATGCCATATCTGCAGTATGAATTTTTAATGCAAGGAATTTCAGTAAGGGATGCAAGAGTTATCACCAGAGTAGTGTGATGCTTAAATCATCCCCTAAAAGCTGTTTCAGTTGCAGAGAATACTGAAATTTATTTTAGCTCTAAAAATGTCCTTTTGTAGCCAGATGATTCTCAGCTTCATGCCTAGAATTTGTTTTCCAAGGGCTTTGGTAGACAGCTTTATGTGTGTGCATTCCCAAAATGTTAATATAGCCTAGATAAGATATCAGAAAGCAAAATTCATAAAAAGTCAGGAAGACTCTTTTGTTGCACTGGTATCAGTACCAAGTGCAGAATTGAAACAACTTATCAGTTGTAAAACATGCAGTTTCTTGTAAAAAGTCTTCCAGAAACAACTGACGTATTGTGGTGAGTAAAATAAGAGAGCTGAGATCTGAGGAACTGATTTCTAGCCCACATGCCTTCCTCAGTTTGAGAAAAGTTGTAGCCAGGCTCGCTGAAGGTTTTGTGGTATATTTTTTATACATATTTTTACTGACAAATTATTTTTACTGACAACTGTGCACATCATCGGGCTTCCTTTATCAGTTTTTTTTTCTACCTTTCTATTTTGCCTTTTTTTTTCTGCTTTATGACCATCAGAGCCCTTCCCTAGAATATAGAACGAGCTTGAACAGATTCTATGAAGCTAAAGGAGAAAGTGTGTTGGATATGTTTTTAACTGAGAAATGCCATAATAAGTAGTAATATGGTCTCCAACCTGCGAGTGGTTGCTCTTCCTTGGAGGCAGCCACCTTGGAGCCAGTCACAGCAGTGAGCTGTTGTTCAGGGGGAATTGTTCCATGCCATTGAAGCATTTCTCTGATGACGTGACATTCATTCAAAGTTGTTCAAACAGGCCTTTGACTATTCAGGTTGACTTTTTTCCCTTTTTTCTTTCTTTTTTTGTTTTGTTTTGTTTTGCTCCGTGTCAGTCATTGTTGTGTAGGGCTAGAGGTGAAAGAAGATCCTGAGGAATTTTACAGGAAGTTTCTTCCTTCAGTTATAGACAGCCTGCTGGTTTTGGGGAAACGCTTGCAAGCACGATTTATCCGAGCAATCAAGGTATTTACGTTTCATGGCTAAAAGAGCAGAGAACGCCTGCAAACTTTCTGCATATTGGATAAGTAGGATATTATTCTAGGGATATGGTATTAGGAAAATTTATTTTCTAGAAATTGCAGTGGTTTTTCTTATGCCTCCAAGCTCTGAAGCTGACATCTGTAATTGTGCAGCATTTGCTCCATGACTTGGGCAAAGCCACTACACAAAGCCCTACAAAAGACAGCATCCCAGTCACGGTAGTGTCTTAACTTTGCATATCATTAGTTCAGCCTTCATAATGACTTAGTTCTCACTCATTTTATTCAGCTATACAAAAAACGATTTAGGGAGCCCTAAGATTTTAAATCAGATTTGTTGAAGTTTGTTTTGTCATTCAATTTCTGCTGCATAATTGGCAAAAAAATTCCAAGAATGCTCACTATTTCTGAACTTGCAAATGGAGAATGCCAAAGGCAGACTTCATGAATTTATAGATCTAAACACTTTCTCACATTTTCCTCCTTTTTTGCAATGAAGAAGGGTTTTGCTCAGCGAGGTTCCCTCATGCTTCTGGAGTATTCTGAGTTCTAGAATCAGAAGGAAAAATACCCCCAACAAACAAAAACCCACAAGTAATTTAAATTTCCATCTTCATGGATTCTGACAGTTTCTTTTAATAACCCCACTTCTCCATACTATCTCATTTCTTGGCTCACTGGCTTCTAGCACTTAGCCAAAGTTTTCCTACAAAGTATTGTGATAGACACCACAGACAATCAATTCTCAGAAAGCATCAGTGCAATGACATAGTTTCTGTTAGTGGAGTACTTGAAAAGTGCATTTTGTGCTTGACAAGGAAGCTTCCTAAATGACATCCCAGAAGACTCTTATCCACAATATGTAATTTCTCCCATACTTTCTTATTATGTCTCAGCCTACATACTACTTGAGTCACGCTTGTGGGCAAAGATTTCTTTTGAATGCAAATGCAGTCTACATTATAATTAGTACTTTGGCTTTTAAACTTCATGGTCTCAGAGGTGACTGGGCACCCAGACTTGATGCTTGCTCAGTGGAATTTTGGAAATCCCACTCTACCAGTAGAGATTTAAAGTTTATTCTACTCTCTTTTGCTTTGTGTACAAGTTTTCGAAGTCAAGTGAAGTAGTGAAACGGTTTTCAGAAAAAGACATGTTGCCAAAACACAGAACAGATAATATTACAGCTTAACATATTATTGTTATTTTGTATTGTTACTGTATTTCTCCTCATCAGTCTGGACCAAATACAAAGTTAAAGCTTGACTGAGAGCCGTGGCTCCAGCTGGGATCTAGGACTAGGCTTCCCAGGGTTTCATTTGTGGAGGCTGAATTAATGTGGGATGTATGACCATGTGCTTTGTAGCAACATTTGTAAGCAGTGACGTACTGTCAAAAACCCTTTTGCTGTTCCACACACTAAGATTCCAGATTTCCAGTAGTCTGTGGCTCACACTTGGAATACAGACTGGAATGTGCATCTGTATGTGCATTCAGGTGTTAAAACCTGAATTCCTGCTGGTCATAGGGGAGCACTGGAGCACCTCTGCAGTGAAGAAAGGCTGAGAGAGATGGGGTTGCTTAGCGTGGAGAAGTCTCTGAGGAGAACCTGTATCACCTCCCAGTACCTAAAGGGGCTACAAGAAAGATGAAGAGGAGCTTTTTACAAGGGCCTGTAGTGACAGAATAAGGGGTGACACTGAAGCAGGGAGCTTGACACTGAAAGAGGGAGGTTTAAATTAGGGAGGAAATGCTCTGCTGTCAGGGTAGCAAAATACTGGGACAGGCTGCCTAGAGAAGCTGTGGCTGCTCCATCTGTGGAAGCATTTGAGGCCAGGTTCCATGAAGCTCTGAGAAATCTGGTCTACTGTTAAGTGTCCCAGTCCATGGCAATGGGACTGGAACAAGATGGACTTTAGGTCCTTTCCTACCATTCCATGATTGATTCTATGTTTTTTTCCAGTCCAGTGCTATCACAGGCAAGCACATGATGTAGTCTGTTTGGCAAACAGATCAAATTTCAGCTTTGTAGAGGTTTGGTGTTTGCTCCCACACCTCCAGCTAGAAGGTGCTTCTGAAGCTTCACCATACCAGCTATCAGGAACCTTTTCCATTTTCACTGTGTCCTTGGCCACAATACCTTTTTTAATTTTCCCCCTCTTTAAAGTAATATATTTCCCACTTAGTGCATTAAATCTGTGATGCATATTTGCTGAGCCATCATTTGTCTTATCTCTCCAATGCTATCAAATATTTTTGAGGCATAAACAAGATTTCTCTCCTGTTGTTGTGATTGTTTTTCCCAAATGCTTACTTTTATTTTTTTAGTATCTTCAGATCTTCTTGATTGATCTCTGACCTCAAAGGTCTCACAGGTGGGGGTGGGGTTTTTTTTACTAGTTCCTACAGTTTCACCAACTTCATTTGGAAATTTGGTGGAGTTTGGTCTCCAAATTCCTGAGGCATACAAACCTTCCCAAGACATCAAGATGAGGTCCTTAATGAAGATACATACACATGTTTTTACCTACTTCTCTCTTGTTTAGGATAAAGAAAAACAAGACTTTTTACACTGGTTCCAAATAGTAACTGATGCCATCTGCTGGCTGTTCGGTGGGCATATCCAACTAGCAGCACATGGTAAGGGAAATGTCAACCCACAGAACACCTGAACATTTATTTATGGCAACTAGGAGTTTCAAAATTCATTCTTAAGCTAATCTCCACCTAGTCTTCTAAACTTGAGTAGATGTTAAATCAGTCTTTTTAAGTAGTCAACAGCAATATCTGAAATGGTAAATATCCACTAAAGGGAAATATTCAAGAGTTCCCCTTCTAGTCTTTCAGAGACAAACATTTAAAAGTGTCATCCTGTAATTTATCTTTGTAAGTCTATACCTTTTAAAAATCAGGTTGTAGGGGTTTTTCTTTCCAATAAGAGACAATTGATATTTTCCTGTATGTGATTAAAATATGTAGAAATTTGACCAGAGTACATTGTTAGCCCTGTAAGTAGATAGATTTGGAGACAGATTTCTGAAGTTTTTTACATGACAAGAAATTGTACAAATATCTAACAAACTCACGATATATTTCTGGCCAAAATAAGCTTTCATTTAAACTGATGTTAATCGCACTGATTCAGAAAAGCAGAATTTGGTTTTGTTTCTAGTATTGGACAAAAACCAAAAGGATCATAAGATATATATAAAAACACAAATGGTCAGAAAAATTACTGAATACATAGCCAGTGATACACTGGGATAAAAAGATGGTGCTTTGATGACATCAGTGTACTTGCATTAAATAATCTGGGGTAACAAACTGTCAAGTTTGAGGTCCTTAACTTTTTCATATTTTGTTTCCCCAGTGTTAATTTCACTGTTGTTGTAAGAAAAGGGCACTATTGTAACATAAAGAGGTTTAAAGCCTTCATTCCCTTGCAACATCAATGCCTGAGGGATGTCCAAAGGCAGAAAAAACAGGATTCACCATGTTTTTTGGAGGTTGAAGTAGTTTAGTTATCTCAGTAAGTTTCAGTGTAAGAATTATAAATGAGGGAGTTTGTTCGAGAAACAGTGTCTGGGTTTACTTGCTATGACTTATGATGAAGTTTATTTGGTTTATGGTATTTTCAAGTCTGGTTCTGATTTCATGATTTCTTGTTTGCTTGTTTTTTGTTTTCTTTGCAGTACTACAAAATGATCGCTTCCTGCAGTTGTTAATAACAGATAATGTTGAAACAGCAATTGTCATGATGTCTGTGTTACACAATATTTTGAGGATCGATAGGTTGGTTGTTTTTGTATTATTATTTTTCTTAATAATAAATATAAAAGGTAGCTCATTACTGCTTGGTAAAATAAAATCTTTTCATTTGCAAGCATTGTTGTGTTTTACTGTTTGGGGGTTTTTTCCCCCCTAGTCTTTGTAGTAGAAATTAAAAACATTAAAAAGCTGGAATTTTAATCTTCTTAAATTGAGGGAGTGGTAATGGATTGATTGAAACAGTAGTACTGTTTGGATCATATTCCTGGTCCAGCTAGTTGGGCATCTTGGCTTGCTGTATATAGCCTGACATAGCTAAATAAGTCACTGTTTAAAAGCTCATGTTTTTCAATTAACACTTCTGTCCCATTCCCCTTTTTTTCTTTATTCTTTTTTAAGTTCTGTCTTGCTTCAAGTTGAAGAAGAGACCCTTCACTCTCTCTTGGATGAACTTGTTTATAAGCTGTCCTCTACCACCAATCCTGCTGTTGGAAGTGCTGCCACAAAACTGCTGTTATTAGTGGCAAAATCTTGCAAACAGCTTGTGCAGTTACTCACAGCTCGCTACAAAGGTTTGTAAACATGCATGGGACCAATCAATGAGCCTCCTCTTGCATTCCCTGTGGAAATAAAAAGACAGGGGTTTCCCATTGTGGTTCAATAACTCTCCAGTACAGGTGGAAACTGCAATGCCACGTTGCTTTGTGGGTTTTTTCCCCTTCTATTCATTTTCATTGCAGTTGCAGGTACTGCACCTCTTTCTGTTCCCTAGATTTATTTTCTTCTGTGTACTGAGCACTCTGCATGTGGCAACCGGTCTTATAAAGTTGTTGATTGTGATTTCCAGCCTGATGGGCTTTTGCTTCTTTCTGTTTCCCTGTGCAGGTTGGTTATTGAGGGATCCACTGGCAGGGTGCCTGTACTGCCACAGTCAGAGAGCCCTATGTCACATCTGCCACAGTGCTAAGGCTCACTAATCCAGAGCATGAAAGTTTTACTTAGTGACCTGCTGACCCTGGCTGTTGCAAGTCTCCTCATCTGATGGGGGCTGTTTAGCTATCCAGGAGCTGGCTGTCTTTTGATATCCAAGTAATTGGAATGAGCTCTTTCCAAGAATTCATGAGATTAATTTATCGTTTTGTCTCGATGCCTTCATATGATAAGGCTGAGTTTGTGTATAATTTGTTCAATGTATTCATTCCTTAATGAGGTATCCCATTTAATGTTTCTGTCTCTAGCATAGCAGGAAGCTCCAGGAAACTCCTTTGTACTCTATCATGCTGATGGAGACTAAGGAACAGGCATAATATCTGCCATGTCTTTTTATGTTCTGGATGTTATTGTGGGTCAAAACTACTTGTGAGCACCCTCAGTCCTTAGAGGACAAAGACAGTAAAAAGAAGAAATGCAAGGCAAAATGTCCAATTTCCATTTTTTTCACTTGTGCTGACTACTTATTATAGAGTAACAGCTAGATAAATTTCTGGACCAGATGAACAGCTTTGCCACCCTTTTGCCTACAGAAATGAGAGGAGGGATTCCTTGTATTGTGGAATTAAGTATAGTGTGCCTAAGGCTGCTATCACATTGTGGATTCTTGGGAAGCTGCCTTGATGGTCTGATCATCCCAGCTGTAGAATGCTGGCTTGTTTGAAGTTGTGTAGATCTCCATCAAAGGATGCTTTATTTTGCTCTAGAATCACAGTATGCCACAGTCATTTAGAACTGTATACGTTTCCTCTTTCCACTAAGAAATGAAAAAAAAAAATTGCTTTTTTTCTCTACCTTTTTTTTTTTTAAGTTAGAATCCTTCTGTTAGTTTTAATTTGGGCTTTGGAATCCTTTAGAGACTTAGAGGAATAAAAGCAACAGAGAAAGCATTACAGCATTTCCACCATCTGGCCATCTCACTGAAGTCCCTTGGCTTCACAGTGGCAGTGTGAGGTGTTTTGGTGTGAGCTTTGCCAGTGAAGGCAGCCTGCTGGAGGTGAGGGCACCTCCAGGACCAGCACAGCCCCTGTGCCAGGTTCCCTGGAGGGCCTGGCCTTTTGTCCTGCATGGGTTGACACATCTGTGAGGCACACTGAGGGTACTCCCTGCCAGTAGCCAGAAGGAGCATATGGCTGTGTAGTCTGCACAGAGACTGGCAAGTGGTTGTGTGAGACCCACAGCATTTGTGTGAGGGAGCTCTCTTGTGTAGCCTGGCTCCCTGCTTTTGCAGGGCTCAGGCAGCCTTGGGACACCCATTTGGAGTCCTGCCTGTCTCTCCTGAAGTGTTTACCTGTTATTGTTTTTCTAAAATGGTGCACATGGTGCCACAGAGGTGCCATTTCTGTGTGCTCCAGATCCTGTAAGTACATGTGAGTGTTGTGTTGGAGTTGCCCAGTGTATGAATATGTTTATGGGCAATAATTTGAAGATGGGAAAGTTACTTGAATCTGCAGTTCTTCAGGAGGCAAACATGCACATACTTCCTGCCCTCCCTCCTCTTCCCTCCAACCCTCCACCCCTTAGGCTCTGGGATTTGTCTGATACAAACATTTTACCACATGTTACTGTCTACTTGCATAGGGAGTGTGTGTGTGTTGTGGAGGGAGCACATGGGTGCTTTTTAGCTACTGCAAACCCAAAAAGCTCTTTTGTCTCGTGGATTGGATGCACATGCACTCACAGTTAAGTGATGCTGTGCAGACATCAAACAATTCCAGTTGGAAAGAAATAAATTTTATTACGAAAAATATGAAAATAGTGTTAACAACACCCAGCACTTATGTGGTGCTTTGAATTCTTTTTAGCACCTTAGTAAGACTTACTGATAAGGCACTGAAAGTAGATTGGTAATTTGACTGTCAGTGATATAAACACAATACTGACTCGGACACAGAAAATCACTGGATAATACTTCTTTGTGATAGTTGGAGCACCAGACTTTCTTTGATAAGATTATGCATTGACACTCAAAGATGGCTGATGGTCTTCAGCTCTCACACTTCTTTGCACATAGAATCAGATTTAATTTGTTGGTTCACAGTTTGTTACTTTGAGAGCCTGAAAGGACAAATTCATGATACTGAATTAGCATCTTCTCTTTCTCTTAGGATTAAAAGGGCTTTTAAGTAAACAGTGGACTGGCAAAGGATTTGACAGGGAGGTCAATCAACTCTTGGACCTGATGTATTTGGAACAATCCAGTGGAAAAGGAGAAATGCAGGTGATTAAGTTTAATGTGACTTTCAGATGTGAAATCCTATTTAGATGTGAAATCCTATTTACATGTCATTTGTGTATGTTTAGAACAGATTTACTATATCACTTTGTAGAAACTTTTCAAACCTGTGTTATTATTTCACTATGTTAATTAATTTTAATTGCATTTTTGAAATTATTTTATTGTAGTTTTTTAAAACATCAAGAAATTGCTCAGCCATTAAAATTATGGGACTGTGACTCAAGAGATTGGCTTTGTGTGCAGATTCACCATAGGTTTCAATACAACCATGGGGGAAAATAATTAATTTTTTTGCTAATTATCAGATTAAAATAACTGAATCTGCTTTTCTCACATCGGTGTTACAAATTTAGATCTCTGAATTCTAGGCAGCATTTACATAGAACTAAGTCATATACAGAAAATGTGCAGTAAGAACACCACCTGGACTGTGTTCCCAGTGAAAGAAACAATGTGTGTTTCAGGAGCATCTTAAAAAAAATTGCATGCAGGTTTCTCAGAGACAATACTTCAATGAAAATCAGTTATGTTTGCAGAGACCTGCTTTCATCTTCAACAGAGCAGGGTGTTTTTTGATGCAGTTTTTTTGTGGTTTTTTATGAAAAATCCATTTAAGAATAGAATAGATTTTTTTCATGTTTGCATTTCAGTGACTTCTGATCATCCTGCAAATCTAACATTTTTCTTGCTGCTCTTTCTTCAAAGTTGTCTTTCTGTCCTCTCTAGTGTAGGTACTTTGATTGAGTCACCATTTGAAATATCAAGTGCATCAGGTGTTTTAAATACAAATTTCTCATCTTGATTTTATATATATATATATATATATATATATATATATATATATATATATATATATATTTGTGCTGTAGATTAGTTTGTCTATCACAGACAGCATCAATACAGGTGGTCAGATTCACTGCTTTTGGGGCAAGTATGGAGTTCATGATAAGAACTGTCTCATAAAGCCTTAAATTCTCCCATTTGATGCATTTGGAAACTGATGGGGTTTGGCCAAATGTTGAGATTGTCCAATTATGCAAGCAGTAATAGTGTTTTTATATGCATAGACGATATTCTACCAACTGTTTTATTAATTTCAGAAGCGGCATGAAGCAGCTTGTGTAATCCAGGCAGCATGGTGGGGATTTCAGACAAGGAAAAGGCTAAAAAAGCTACCCCAAGCAGTGGTGACTTTACAGAGAAGCTTCAGGTAAACAGTATGACTTTGTGAAAAACAGTAAAGAACAGGATCTAGTACGAAGGTTTGAGTTGGGCTGGGTTTTCTCAAGTCACAAAGGAAGTGGAAGAATTCAGATCATCTAATTCAGTGTCCTGTTTGAAGTAGGCCCTGCCTCAAAATGGGATCTGGGTGCTCAGGGCCACATCCAGTTTTAGAGGTCTCCAAGGATGCAGATCCTACCATCTCACTTGTTCCCTTTCCTTGTGCTGGATGATTTGCCTTGTGAAGAATTCTTCTATTACAGGCAGTGGGAATTTCCTTGTTGCACTCTTTATCACTACCTCTTGTCCTTTTTCTGAGCACCCCCATGAGTCTGGCTGTGTCTGCTTTCTAACACTTCTTTAGGTAATGAGAGACAGGTTTGCCTTCCTTTAGGCTAAACACACCTTGCCTGTCCTTATACATCCCACATTCCATGGCCCTGATTGTCTCTGTTTGGACGTTCTCTATCCCTCCCATTGCACTAAACAGCACTGTGCTGGTGGTAGGACAGATAACTGGTTAACAGTTAACTTGACACAAAGTTGCTCTGTAAATTACATTGGCGCTACGGTGGAGCTTGCACATGCCAGAGTGCTGCAGAAACCAAGGCCCATAGTGCTTGGCCCATAGTGCCAGTGTAGTGCTTGCAAGACCGTGTTCTTCATTAATTTTTAAATCTTTGGCTCTCAGAAGTAGAGTTACTTCAGTGACCTAGAAATAGTATCCTCTACCTTGGAGCAGCAGAGAAGAAGGAAGCTATGTAAATAATGCTTGTCTCACTTGAATAACACTGCAGCAGTTATGTTAGCATGTGTTAGGCTAACTGTTTTGAGAAATTTAGTTTGAATTTAACATGGGTTAAGGGATTAAAATCAACCGTAGACTCCACAGCAAGTTTTTTCAAACTTTTTTTGCGCATTGATCATTACTGTGTCAAAAGTAGATCTTATAAATCACTGTCAAATCACATTGCATTGTGACCCAAGTAATACAAAGCAAACAACTATGCTTTATTGTCTAGACTAGCCTTAAGAGGATATTGGACTATCTAAGGTGTAGTTTTTAAATTCTGAAAGATTTGCAGGGGCAAGCAGTTTGTCTGTTGAGGGCCACTGGTCACTGCACTTTTGTGATGGAGTCAGACATCCTTGTTACTCCCTTTTACTCCACCATGCACTTGAAGCCAATATTCCCTCGTAAGGCACCTTGCAAGCCTGCAAGCTAAACTTATAGCCCAGAAATTTTGGATGGTGGGCTAAGATGTAACATGGAAAAGCAGCAGGGAAAGGATGGTGAGACTATCAGCCATCACCAAGCTGCTTGACTCCCTCGTGTCATATTTTCAATATTGTAAGCATTAGTGTGTGCCTTTTAAGTAGCCCTCAAGTAATTTAAATGGACTTTTGAAAGGTGTTTGTTTAATATTGAGAGGAATGGAAACTTATTAATGTCCTTACAGCTGTGTGTGTGCATGGCTCACTCAGTCCCAGTGTACTGAGCAAATACAGTAACTGTACAGTGCCAGTGTTGGTTTTCTTCTATCTACCTCAAAACATTACACTGAAAAATAGTGTTGGGAATCCTGTAAATATGACTTTAGAAGAGCTTTTAAGAGTACTTTTTAATTTTTAGCAGTCAGGTCCTGGTTATGTTCTCAGATTTATTTTAGAACAAGTGTGGTTAAATAGTGCCAAGATTGAAACTCCAAACTTTGCTCACCTGCAGCTGCAGAGGAAGATCTTAAACTCTTCAAGTTATAAACTTTTGAAACTGTGGTTTCAGAAATATCTCCTCAGTGAATGTTAAAGCCTGTGGTCTCTCCTTGAAGCTAGTTCACTATTACATAGCTAATTGTAGGACATTTTAAATGGCAATAATTCTTATCAATAATACATCAAAAATGAAACCATTTTACATTTCTAAAGAGATGACCAGAGGGAGGCTGCTCTGTGCCATGAACAGCAGAAGGAAGCTTGGATCTTACTCTGTGTATGTTTTACTTTAGTTCAGAGGCAGTTCCCTATCACAGTGTGGTCTTGTGCAAGCAAATATATCTTATCATTGGGAGAAACAGAGGACAAATGTGTTTTGCAGACTACATAGGAAAGAATCAGTATTAAAGAATCATTTAAATACCTGACAGACACTCTTGGTTTCACAGATGTGCATCTGAGAAGTTCATTAAACATTTTTGTAGTTTTCAACCTAGTGAAGCTGATAAAAATTGATGGGCAAAATATTAAATGTTTTATCAAGAAAATGTGAACAATTGTCCTGTTTGATTCTGTGACTTCATTTGTCTTAAAAATATAATATTTGGACTAAAATATTAATTACCTAAATTAAAAATGTAAAAATTTACAGCTCTAATTTGTAGAAATGTGTGGGCTGAAAACCTTTAGTTTCCTTGAAACCATTCTGATATAATCACATGTATCATGATCTGTCTCAGTAGGTCGGTGTGTGGGCACACCTCAAGTCTGCATTACAGTTGTAAAAGGATTATGGTCTGTCAGATTGTGATGGAGATCTGTTGAGGTCAGATCTTTAAATCCAGAGCATCTCTTTCACACAACAGTTTCTGTCCCAATTTCTCCCAGTTTTAGAGACTAAAGAGAAGGTATGGTTGGTGGGAAAATTATGGTTCAATTTATACTAGTGATGGGAAACACAGATAGCTCATTAGTACTGTGAGTCTAAAGGTATGTGCCATGCAGCAATAGCAAAATTACCTGGACATTAAGTCTAGTCTGTGGACATTTTCCTCCTCTGGCATGCCTTATACCTCTGCTCTGTCCATTGGTTGGTTTTCTTCCCTGGTGCTTAAAGCACTTCTTTCATTGTCCCCAGAAAAGGGCTAGAGGAGAGCAGAACCCTGGGCTGTGGACCCAGTGAGGGTACTCAGGTCCTGAGTGGGGAAGTGATTTTGCTGCAGCAGGAGCAGAGAAATCCCATTGTTACCTTGTTGTGGGGTAAAGTTGTACGTTCTCAGGTCTTAAGCTGCTAGGTTGGGTCCATTGGAATGAGAAGGAGCGGTGAAGGGAGGGGGAGCTCTAGCTCACACCTCCTCATAATTCACTGAGACCATGGCCTAGTGGTCTCAGTAATTATTAGTATCTATACATCAGTATATTAGATATTTTATGTTAGTCTCTATATTGATGTGTTGCTGTGTATTTCATTGATGTACATGTTGTTAGTAGCTTCAACACTCCAGGGTCAGTTACAGAGTTTTCAACTGTCTCATCTGTGAAACTTGTGCTGCAGGTTTTCCAGCGCACAGCAGGGCAACACCCTAACATCAAATCTAGAAAAGATCAGGAAGAATTTGCAAGAAAATTCTTTATTATATTTATCATATTATATTTATTATATATTTAAAATTCTAGTGTTCTCTAACAAAGTTGATGGACCAAATGTGTCTGTCTGTATTTCTGGAGGAAAAAAATCCCTCCAAAATTAAGAAGTGAGGCTTGGCAGCCAATATCCCGATCTCCTTTCGCAGTCAGTACAAAAATAATTGTTTGTGTTGTGGGAAGCATGTGCCATGCATGCTGATGGATGGACTAGAAAAGGTGGGTACTGGAGCAGATGGCTAATGCTGCTTTACCTCTTCAGCAGATGATGGAATCAAAATTGTTGTTCCAGTTCATTCTGGCTGTGAATGTCCCACATGAAGCATCATTCCCTTCAGAGCCTTTAGAACTTTATCCTTAGTAAAAATTTACACTCTGATTTTGTAGAGTGGTTCAGAGTTTTTCGTGGCTATAGATAGTGAGGTAATGTTTTAGTTTGCAGAAGACTTCTCATTGCTTGGTGTCATTCTGCAGCCAACAGCTGGCATAGCAGATTGTTTTGTGGATTTTCTTTCTCAGTGCTGCACCACTTAACACAAAGAAAAGGAGATGTACTTTAAAGAAATGTACAACTTTAGGTAATTGTTAATGTACTTGTGTATTGCAGAGCTAAACGGGAACAGGAGCTGCAGCATTTAACAAAACAGAAGGAAGATGAAGCTCTAAAACTGCAAATGCAACTTCAGAGACAGAGGGCCATGAGACTCTTCCATGAACGACAGCTGGCCTTACTGGAAGTTGTCCATGCCAGTATGATTTATATTAAACTATAGCAGAAGATTAAAGTGTCTGGGTGTCCTTAGGAACAATTTCCCCAAATCTGTTTCCCAATCTTGCATGTCTATTTGCACTGTAGTCTTACTGTCTCTTCTCCTGACCCAATTATCTGAAAGAGAATGTGCTAATTCCCCCAGGGCTCAGTAACTACTGATCAAGATCTGGTGCCTTAAAAATGGTGCAGGAGAAAGGGAGAGAGAGTTTTCTTGTGTTACAAAGCTCCATTGCAGCTATGATCTGCGAGACCTGACCCACAGCCAGGACACCTTGGGGAAAGAGGGGCTTTTAACTGAGAGCACCCAAGTTTTTTTGGTGCTCTCTAGCTTGAGGATTAACAATGTAAATTGTTAAGAGAACATAACCCACAGTCTTCTAACTGTGGATTTTTGTTACCTTTGTAGGTCAGTTGAATAAATACATGCAGGAAATGGAGGAGAAATCAGCATTAACTATCCAGAGATTCTGGCGAGGGTATAGAGCAAGAAGAATTTTTCATCAGCAGAAACAGTCTCTTAAGGAGTATAAGGCAGCTGTCATCATTCAAAGAGCAGTAAGTATTTATACTTTGGTATAATAGTAGATAGGATTGAGCAGATTGTTGTGAAGCCTCATAAAACTGTTTATTTTCTTACTGTTAATGTAGCCATAATTTATTAAAAAATTACTCGGGTGTGATAGTCTAGAGCCACAAGTTGCTTTAAAGGGTTAAAGCTTGTATAGGCTACAAAGCCTAATACAGTCTTGCAACTAAAATATAAAAGCTGCTTCTTTGAAACCCAGGATTGGAATGTCACCATACTACAGATGAGTCACTAACTTATTATGAGTGTTGTTACTATTTAGTGTTCATGCTGACCTTGTATGTTGTCTTTTCAACATCATGGCTGCATTTAGGCTTTAACAGATGCTAGTACTGAAACACTTTCACTGATTGTTTATAAACAAAACAGGAAGACAAATTTCCTCTCTGTGATTGTTATATTCTCATATGTTCCTTACAAAGGCTTGTAAATTCTTGGAGAAACGAAGGAGGAGGAGACCTCTCTCTCCTTGGAAAGAACCCAAGGGACTGACTGATGAGCAGAGACTGGCTTTGCAGCAGAAGGTGGATGACTACATCAAATTGCATCCGGTCTGTTTCTTAGTCATTTCATAATTTGCATTAATGATGCAACATAAAATACTGTAGGGATGAAATATATTCATCTTCATAAATTATGATCAAGATAATCCATTTGAGGTATGTATGTATTAACCCTGCTTGTTTGGCAGCAAGGCACTAGGATACTGGGGATTTTAACCATTAATCTAATAAAAAGTGTCAAAGCAAACGGTAATTGGAAAATTTATATACATGATGATGGATAATTTTGAAAAGAGTTGCAGAGGAAGCAAAATTACAAAGTTAACAATTAGGAACAGCATTTGCATTCCTTGTTTAGGCATTATTCTACCCCCAGAAATTTTAAAATAACCAGCTCCTAATGGTAACAAACTTATTTTCCTCCAGGCTTCCCAAATGTCAGAAGAAAGGAGTAAAGAATTGCATGTGCAGGCTCAGGCAAAGCTGGCACAGTTCCTGTTGAGGAACAGGCTGGATCAGAGAGCGGCGCAGCGGAGAGAGGCTTTGCTGGCTCAGGTCAACACCGATGTGGAGCTGCTAATGAGTATGTGACTGCTCTGCTCATGGCTTTGATTACCATTTGGATGAAACCAATTTAGAGGGAAAATTAGAGTGAGCAGTGGTAAAGCCTCATTTCAAAACTGAAATATCTTTCTTTCTTTGCCATGTGCCTTGTCTTGAGATCCAGGCTTTGTTAGAGATTATCCAAGTGCTGCTGTAGGTTCAAGATAAACACCTGTTTTTCAAGGAGCATCTTATTCTTCTGCTGGAAGTCTCTGTCTGATATGTTCACAAGAAAAGCAATAGCCCTGTAACAGGCATTAGAATTTCTTAAAAAGGGGGTTTCACACAACCTATTCACCCACATTTGTTTTGCTTTGGTTTGTTTTCTCATGTTGTGAGTAAGCTGCTGGTTAAAACACTCTCTCCCCTTCTAGATGACAAGGGAAATCTTTGAGCTGCAATTTCCATGTTTTCATTTTCTCTGGCCTGGCTTTGAGTGAAACAGAATTCACTGTTCTATCTTAATTCCAGACAAGTGGCTGCATGAAAAAGCAAGAGTAGCAAACTGCAGCCACCAGAGAGCACCCAAGCTGGGCAGAATTCAGCAACTTACTGAATTCCATTAGTCTGTCACGTGCTGTGTCACTGTAGCTCATCATTCCCTGAGCAGGCAAATCAGCAACACACTTACACTGTACTGGGTCCCCCAAGCAGGGAAACCACAAGGCTGCTGCACCAGAGCAGTGGAAACACCAAGCTGATGTCACCCTGCAGCAGGAGCACTGATCCACAGTAGTGACCAGGAGATCCTCTGAAATTATACTTCTACAAGAAGTCATTTTGGTGGATACCACCACTGCACCTGAAAGAAGCAGTCCATGTTTCCCCTTTCTTCTTTCTACCCCATTATGTATTTCTTTTGTCAGATTAGCCTTTATTTGGATTGCCACTCCAATCAGATTTATGATTTATCAGGTAGTCATAAAATTGCAATGCCAGCACAAAGAAAGGAGTGGCCTAGGACAGTGAGAAGTGGGAGGGTAGTGTTCTTTTTTTTTTTTTTAATACTTATAAAACCACAAACAAAATACAGAAAACTCTTCTTCCTGTTCTTGCAGATGCTCCAGGTTTAGCAGAGACCACAGAAAAAGATTTTGGTGCCTTTATGAGTCGATCAATCCCTGTAGCTACCAAGGCAAGACAAGCACACAACACTATGCTAAGATACACTCGTTGGCCATGGTGGAAGAAGCTTGGAGATGAGTTTATGGAGGATGATGCAATTCCTGATGATGCTATAAACACAGAACTGGAAACTCTGTTTATTGGAGGAAGGAAATCCTTTTAGGTAACAAGCAGAAGAATTTCATATTCAACGAGACTCATATCTAGCACTATGCACTCACTTGTGTATTTTTAAGGAAGGAAAACATTTGAAAAAGACTGAAAAAGACCAAAGCCTTATTTTAGCACATTTTACTTAATAAGAATCCCTTCCTGTACATCAAGAGTTGGATCCTATTGATTGTGCTGTTGCAAATAGGATTTAAATACTGTAGTTTTAAATGAACATATTTTGTAATTTGTATCACTTTAAAAGTAAGTTCATAACCTTTGGCTTTTCAGTTACTGATGTGTCTGAAACAAGAATTTGAGATTGTGCTAATGCCATAGCTACCTGTGCTATTTTTTAGGTGTGAAAGGCCAGAGTCTTAAAAATTAGATCTTGCCTCACTGCAAAGGAGGAAAAAGTGCAGGGGTTTCTGCTGGTTGTATGTGGGCAGCAGTTTTGGTTCAGCATGTTTGTTTTCCATTCTCTCTGGAAGGCTTTGAGTTTTAATTTTAGTGGAGATGAATGGAAAACAAATAAATAGAAACAGTGGGCAGAAGACCAAGCCCATTCAGATACAGCTGATACATGGAAATTAATAACTGGATGGCTGCCAGGAGGAAGAGCTGTGCTCTGTGTTAACTTTTTTCACAGAACTGTGATTTGGAATGCAGCGAATTGGCTCACAATTCCTTTCTTGGACAGTTAATTAATGGAACAATCCATTAAGTATTTTCTAGGGCACTTGCAGGTGTCTGTTGAGCTGCACAGTTCTGCTGTGTTAGTTTTGAGCCATGCCCATAACAAGACAGGTACCCTACAACTACAAGAGCAGAGGGTGCAGTCACCAAGTGCTCCAGGGGATGGAAGATATCCCTCAACAGCCAAGCTCTGGCACTGGAAATGGCCCAGCATCTCTGGATGAACTGCAGCAAGCCAGCTTTTCCCTTCTAAATGCCTGAGTCCTCTGTGCACATCATTGTCCCCTTGGCCATGCAGCCTCTGGCCCAAACTATTTTGATGCAGAAACCTCTGCTCTTACATTTATTCCTAATCACCCTTATTCTAACAGGTCCTTGGTGCAGGGAGATGGTCACAAAAGGGCTTTGCCGAAAGGCAGAGCAAGCCAGAAAGGGGCCACGTTCTGGGATGGAGCTGGGAGATGTTCTTGGATGCCAATTACTGTGGCCAGTTCAGAGCCTGGGCCCAGTAAAAGAGATTCCCAACCTCCTCTGATGCCCTGCTTGGCTCACAGTAGGAGGGATTTGGTGTAGTTTGACTCCTTCTCTTTTCAAATCTTCCTGCACCGCATGCTGGACAAGTTACTGGCATTTTATTTCATTGCAGCCCCTTCTGGAATAAAATACTCTTGTCTTAATAATGGGAACAGATATTGACAGCTGAACAGAAGTCTCCTCCAGCTTGCTAACAAGTGAACAGTTCTGTCTGGTTTAAACAATTACCCAAAAAAAGACTGTAGGAGAGGCTATGAGCTGTGATGGTCCAGTCCTACTCCTGCTTTCCTGTTTGCCACAGACCACAGGCATGCCCAGAAAGCATGGAGATGTGGCTTGGGCATTAACCTATGGCATGGGTCGTTCAGCCAGGCAGGAAAAAGGGAGTTTAGTCATACCCAACAGGTCTGGACTGTGCCCCTTTAGGTAGCAAGCAGGCTTGACTTGTCAGGCTGAAGACAGACCCTGCTCACCCAGAGGAGTTCTGGGGGTGCTCTCCACACTGGTGGGGTGACATTCCTGGGGGGAACCTGCAGCAAGGCAAGGGCAGAGGTGGAGCCCAACCTGTGAAAGCAGTGGCGCTCAGGTAATTAAATATTGATGCTGTCTAAGCTGGCCTGTGGGGGCGATTGAGCTGAATTGCAGGTTTCTGTTGCTGTGATAAATTGGACCAATTTGTCATGTGGTTTTGTTTCTTCCCTCCCTTAAGTAAAGCTATACAGGAACATTATTGCTATGGCTTCAGCAGCAGCAAACAATCTGGAAAACAAAATCCTCTGGTGGATATGGATAAAATGGGAGCAAAGGCAACTGTTCTTCTGCCAAAGGTGCCACCAAAGTCACGGAGCTGGAAGAAGGCAGCAAAAAGAACAAAACAAACAAACAAAACATTACTCAGCCCTTTCAGAGACAGAGACAAAGTAGTGTCCTCTGCTAGCTCCTGCAATTGAGGAAAATTCCTGTTTATGCGGATAGATGCTTTTTTTTTAGCATTAGCTGTAACTGGAGTCTGCAAACAACAGGATGTCCATCTCCTGCAGAGACACAGGCATACACTTGAGACTGTGCTGCTAAATCCAAGGGCGTCTTCTGGCCTTTCAGACTGGCTGTAACAGGAGCTCTGAGCTGAGGACAAGAGATAACCCTGATGCTATTTCACCCCTTGCCTCTGAGTCTTCTACTGCCCATTTCCATGGGAGCAGAATCTGGTACAAACATCTGCTCTCCACTGCAGAGTATCACATATATCGAGTACAAGGAGAGACAAAAGCTTTCTCTGAGTAGCGGAATCTGGTCTATTTATAAATTAGCATGCAACGGAAAAGGAGGCAGCTCATTGCAGGGGGAGCTGCAAAGACCATCGCAATAGATCTCCAAGTTCTCCTTATCATCCTTTACAGCACAATAACACCAGGTCATCCTCCAAGAGTCCTTGTGTCCAGTGAAAAACCCCTTAAGAAGGAGATTGTTTACTGACATGAGCAATATATGGGCCCAGATTGACCAAGGGGAACTAAAGGACAGCTGCCTCCCGTCCCGTCTCCCCTGCTCTCCCTGAAGGCAGGGCTGGGTTTACCTCAGGTGCCTTCTTGGGACAGAATGGCCAAGTCTGGCAGATGAAGACCAGGGACAGGACACCACAGCTCTGGCAGTTTTTCCCAGTTTTGCCAGAGAACATCTCTGTAACCTTGAGCACATTCTGTCTCTGTCTTTTCCTCTGACACGAGGCTTACTGAAGAGGTTTCATATGTTTTATTTGTAATTCAAGAGCGTTCAGTGGAGGATGCTGTGAGCCCAGTGCCACTGAAATCCCTTTCTACTAATGTTAATAGGAGTTTGACAGACCTCAGAAAGAAAAAAAATGTATAATCAGGTGTTGAACACATAGAAAGAGTTCAGGGTTGCTATGCTATTTATTTCTCTCCACAATCAACTTTTCTCTGCAGAATTTAGTTTTTTTTCTAATTGTCTTCAAACAGAAACAATGCCTTTACTTAGTCTGGATCACTTAACAAAACTCATGAATGTGAGCAATTCTGATCAGGGACCTTCCTTTTAACATGTCTCACCAGTCCAAAGCCTGCCTGTTCACAACGAGATGAACACAGGCACACGTGTATAAGTCCAGTAACAAGACCCAGCTCAGTCTAGCATTACATGATAGAGCCAATGAACTGCGGTACTTAATCCTAGAAACAATCAACATAACTATTAACTTGCCAAGTCCTTACTGACTGAAAGGGAAGAGGTTCAAGCTGTCATGGTTATGCCTAAAATGAATGATCAATTAAAATACTTGTAAACGCAGGATACAATTAGTTCCTCGCCCAGAACAGGGATAAACGGAGGCGTTACCACTGCCTTGGCTTTATTCTCACAGCAGCTCCCCTCTTTCCAGAGAGACTGCCCGTCACGTGTAGAGCCTGTGGCGGCTGATGCAGGAAGATAGTCAGGAGAGTCACCAGAGCCGTGCTTGCTGTAGGACAAAAGAACGTGCGATCTGTGACCGGAGATAGGGACTCCCGAGGTGGCCAGTCTAAAGAACAGCTGCCGGATATGGAAAATGAGGGATCCCAAGCACCGTAAGAGGAAGCCGAGGGCTAATCTAAACCGCGCTCGGAACTGCCCGGCACTGTGGGGAAGGAGGGGCGCAGGGCTGGGGAGAAAGGCGGGCGCCGATAGACGAGCGCCTGAAGCCGAGGCTGCAGGGCCGTCAGCTCCCAGCCCCGCGGGGACCCCCCTGCCCTGCCCCGTCTCCTCAGCACCGCCCGCTCCCGGCCCCGGGGGACGCCCCGCACTCTCCCCTCAGCCCCGCTCGGGGCGGGGCCCTCCGGGGTACCCCCGCTCCTTCCCCTCAGGACCGCCCGCTCTGTCCCCTCGGCCCTGTCGGGGCGGGGCGCTGAGGCCGGTACCTCGCCCGAGCCGCGCCCGCCGTTGCCGTGGTGACGGGCTAAGCCGGGCCTGCGAGCGGCGGGCGCCGAGGGGCCGGGCCGGAGCCGACCCGCGGCTCGGCGCTGCCGGGCGGGCATGCACAACAAAGGCGGCGGGAGACGCGTCCCGGGCGGGCTCCGCAGGTAGGCAGGTGCGGGCGGCGGGCGGGCGGGTCCCTCTCGGCAGCCAGTCCCGCAGAACGTGTCCCCACCGCCCTGCTGTGAGGGGAGAGCGACCGGGGAGCGAGCTCCTTCTTCAGCCTCAGCCCCGGCCCCGCCGCACCTTGCGGGCGCGGGGCTGCAACAAAGGCAAATGGCTGCGTGGCGGGGAGGGCTGCGGGACCGCTCGTGGAGCGCTCTGTGATTTATCTGTGTGCTGGGTCTCGTTCCCCGGTCCAGCGGGGCCCCTCGGGTCCCACCGGCAGCTCGGCGCCCAGCGCGGGGACGGGAGCGGGGGATACACGCGCTTCCCAAGCCCTTGCACACCTGCCCCGGCTGACACCTGCTCGCTGCCGGGGCCCCGCATGTGCCCGCACCCCGCACTCGCTCACTGCTCGCCCCAGCAGCGGGGGCTCCTCTGGCACGGCACGGAGCGCTCTGCTCTGCCCAGGAGCTGGTCCGGGCGAGGCCGGCCGCTGCTCTCGGCTCCTGAAACTGCACCCGCAGGGACAGAGAGCTTTGCAGGCGGCAGGATAGAGCCTTGGAGGGGCCTGGGGGCTTTTTGTCCCGTGCAAGGTGGGATATTTTGTGCTGGTACGGTACTAGGCTGAGCTCAATCGTTGGGAAGGGGTGGCTGGGCAGCACCTGGCTCTTTAAATCTGCAAGGTCCCAGTGAGTCATTTCTTAATTGATTTCCGTGTGATTTCAGTTCCAAGACGCATTCTCCCAAATTCATAATAGGTTCTGATACCTGAGGTGTTAGCAGGAGCATCTGTTTGAATCCAGAGAGGTAGAAGTTTTACTGCATTATTGAAAACAGAATTCCCTGGAGGAAAATCTCTAAAATCTGCTCCTACCATTTACACTGCAGCGAGGCAGCACTGGGTGCATCTACACTTTAACCTTTCCTCATTTCCTAGTAATTATGGCACTGAAAAGCATTGTAAACAACTCTGCT